ATTCTTATGGCTCTAACATTCTTACGGTAGTTTTTATAACAGTTTACTATACTATTTTTACCCTTCTTTATGTCTTAGAACTCTATCTCTTTCCGTTAACGTTCTTCCTGTCGCCTTACATTCTCACTGTCTCTCTGTCAGTCTAAAACTTCGATTTAACAACTTCCTTCATGTTATGTAACAGAGTCGTTCAATATTCGTGTGGCTCTGTTGTGTCACCTCTCTCTCTCTCTCTCTCTCTCTCTCTCTCTCTCTCTCTCTCTCTCTCTCTCTCTCTCATGGTGGCATATTTCACATATTTCAGAAGGCATATCATATCTCTCTGGTAAGGGCGTGGTTGCGTGAGTTGTGCGCGCGCGTAGGAGTGCGTGACCACAAGCAGTTACTGATGGCGAGGCAAACAGAGGTTGCTTGCTTGCTGGCTGCTGGCGTGACTCACTGCTTTACCACCGGAGATGGTTACTATGGGGGTGCTCTATTTCTGCCCGTCAGTCCGTCCGTCTGTCTGTTCATACGTATATTCCTCTCTCTCTCTCTCTCTCTCTCTCCCTAAGATAAACAAATACACACCTAGTCCATTAACAACATATTACTCAAGTGGAGGAAGTCCTGCAGTGATGTGCTCCAGGAGGTAGAAGGGCTCCCCCACACTGTGTTGACATAATACCAGTGTTGGAAAACTTTAAGGAAGTTCAAGTCTTATGCCATACCACTTGAGCGTGTTACTGGGGACGGCATTGTAGAAACTCTTGGGTTGACTTATATGAAATAAAGATACAAGTGTGAATTTGGTTGACACCGATAAATTAAAAAGATTTAAAAGTTAATTACGGAAGGGGTTGTGCATATTTAAACACTCATAATATTAAATGCGTGTGGTAATTCAATCGTAGGCTCATTGAAATACACTAAGGACGACAATCGTAAAAAATTTCACAATTCGCAACGATCTGTTCAGTTTGCAATACGACTAATACATCTTGACAGTAACAACATATGTGGTAAATGTAATGAATAATGTTGAATGATAACTAATACAGTTTCTTCTTTTTCTAATACTTTTACCTATAGTTTGAGAGTCAATTAAACTAATCAGATAAAAACAAATTAAACCTCAAATGTTTGTTAAGTTGTATCATGATTACAAAATAACGACGTCATAGCTTGTGTTTGTAATTTGTCAGTAGATTATGACCTTCAAGCATCATCCTCTGCCCATGCCTTTCTCTACCCATGTCTTCCTCTACCTATGTCCTCCTTCTCTACCCTTGTCCTCCTCGACGTATGACCTCTTCTACCCATGTCTTCCTCTACATATGTCCTCCTCTACCCATGTCCTCCTCTACCTATGTCCTCCTTCTCTACCCTTGTCCTCCTCGACGTATGACCTCTTCTACCCATGTCTTCCTCTACATATGTCCTCCTCTACCCATGTCCTCCTCTACCTATGTCCTCCTCTACCTATGTCCTCCTCTACCCATGTCTTCCTCTACGTATGTCTTCATCTACCCATGTCCTCCTCTACGTATGTCCTCCTCTACCCATGTCCTCCTCTACCCATGTCTTCCTCTACGTATGTCCTCCTCGACGTATGACCTCTTCTACCCATGTCTTCCTCTACATATGTCCTCCTCTACCCATGTCCTCCTCTACCTATGTCCTCCTTCTCTACCCTTGTCCTCCTCGACGTATGACCTCTTCTACCCATGTCTTCCTCTACATATGTCCTCCTCTACCCATGTCCTCCTCTACCTATGTCCTCCTCTACCTATGTCCTCCTCTACCCATGTCTTCCTCTACGTATGTCTTCATCTACCCATGTCCTCCTCTACGTATGTCCTCCTCTACCCATGTCCTCCTCTACCCATGTCTTCCTCTACGTATGTCCTCCTCTACCCATGTCCCCTCTACCCATGTCCCCTTCATCTAATCATTCCCCCCCCCCCTCCTCCCCGTGGTCCTTAAAAAACATATCCTTTCTGCCTCCCGTGTTCTACCGCCACCCTAATAACCACTTCCCACACCCATGTCCCACCTCCTCTCCTCTTGCCCCCCTTCCTCCTCTTCTTCCCCCCATCATGTCTCTCCCTCCCTTACCCATATCTCCCTACTCCCTTACGTGTCTCTCCCCTCCCTTACCCACATGTCCCCTACTCCCTTACCCCGTGTCTCTCTCCCTCCCTTACCCATGTCCCCTACTCCCTTACCCGTCTCTCCCCACTCCCTTACCCATATCCCCCCTCTCCCTTACCCATCTCTCACCCTTACCCATGTCCCCTACTCCCTTACCCGTGTCTCTTCCTCCCTCACCTATGCCACCCTCCTCCTCCTCTCACCCGCGTCCCCCTCCCCCACATCCCAAGGCCGTCAAGCTCCCTGGGCGCATCACTCTCTCTCTCTCTCTCTCTTAATTCCCTCTGTCTTCTCGGAGTATCTCGCATAGTTGCCGTCTCTCGCTAGACCACTGAGAGAAGAAGAGAAAAAAAAAGATAAGAGAAAGAAGCAGATATTTAGGCAAAGGTAGAGAGGTAGAGAGACAGACCAACAGAGAGAGAGAGAGAGAGAGAGAGAGAGAGAGAGAGAGAGAGAGAGCACTGGGTGAGCCGTGGCCTGCTTGCCACCTCCCACATACAGTAATGTTGCTCGTCCTGTCCTTGGTATCTCCCTTAGCGCATGCGTGATGGACGCCCCGTTTTCATGGCATTCATTTCAAGTTTCACGCCGTGATTTGAATCTAAATTCGTAGTCGTCATTATAATAACCCAAGAGAATAGTACACGTAAGAATGTTTGTACTTCCTCCTTCCTACTTTTGTTCGTCCATTTTCACTAACGAGTAACATTTCTCTACCTCTTTTTTTTTCAGATTTGGTTAATGTGTTCATGGAATAATCACCTGCACTAAATTTAAACGATGATACTCACAGATTAGCGGTGTTTCGTCCATTGTCTGTACATTCGAATGAAGCTTGGCCGGTATATGATATGACACACAGAAGAATGCAGCACAAATTATAGAACAAGTTGATAGACAGACAATAAGACTATATGTGAAGTGGAAAACACCGAAAATGCAACTTGATATCGTGCCTGAGGTGAAGAACGGTTTTGGGGGACATATTTCTCCTGGGTGACCATTTTGCAGACATTTTCCTCTACAGACATGAGTTAAGAATCTTACACAATAAGAAAATTTCTTCTAGCTTTGGCTGTAAAACGAGACTCTCTCTCTCTCTCTCTCTCTCTCTCTGCTAGGAATGTCGGAATTTCTTTGTCATTAAAGAAAGAGGTTTGGATTTTTGTAATTTCCGGTTTCCTGTTTTTGTCTGGGTATGGAATGATACTATTTAGTGGAATTATGTAAACCTGTAAATTGTCTGTTATTTTATGAAAGAAACTTATTCTATTTAACAAACAATATATTGATATATAAATATGAAAAAATCATTCTTTTCCTATTTACAATCTCCAAAAGTACCGAGCAGCTACTGTACCTGATGGTTGATTAAAGCTAAAGAACAAGAACAAACTCCAAAGGTAGAATGAAAATTATACTGTGACTGCCTTTACTTGATGCGACGCTCAGTGTCTCAGCTTATCCACTAATTCTCTGGCTCTCAGCAGCAGTATTCTAACATTTTCGAATATTTGTGGATACCGTCAAAATGGACCGTGTGTGGTCCATGTGAACGAAATACACAGGACAAATTTTGCGAAAAATTATAACATCTCTAGATTTTTCAGTTTGTTTCTTCGTGATTCGCTTCACACACGCAAGAGCTCACACACACACACAACAACAAAAAAACAATAAAACACGCGTGCATGCGCGCGCGCACTATACTGTTTATCCTTTCGAAACTATATCTACAGTATAATCCTTCCAAACTAAGACCGCCCCTGAGGTCGGTCGCTCGCTGTCCTAACCTGCCCTTTAGGACTCCTCGCTGACCTTGTGTAGCGGTCCACTTGTACATCTGGAATGATGCACACCTTTTTTGTTAACTGTAACTGTTTGTAAGAGAGAACAGGGTTGGGTTATCACTCACTGGGACTCATCTTTGAATGCTTCCATTATAGTGCTTAAGAAAATAGGTTTTTGCTTTTTAGAAGTAATTTTTTTTTACGTCGCTACAATATTCAAAGTACTTGCGGTTTCTTTTCTTTTCTCTTTTTAATTTTAAGTGAATGTCGCCCAGATCTCACTCTCATAATATTCACGATAACATTTCTTTTAAACCAACAGATCCCCCTTAAATATGGCTGAAGTAATGTGAAGATTAACGTATTTTTTATGAGGTGAATGGGGCTTGTCTTTAACTGGTTTTTGATTCGTTAGTAAGTTTTTTCTCTTTTTTTTTTGTAAAGCAGCATAATAGTAGGACCTTATGGTGGTTTACTGTATATATATATATATATATATATATCAGGTTTGGGAAATAATTTATCTATTTCTTCAGATTATTGGCTTCAGTCGACAATTTAAGTAAGATTTACATAAAAAGTGGCACTTTGGACAATTTCAGATGGTTAAACTTACATTTATCATCACAGCAAATAGGCCGCTGCCCTGTCTTGCTTACATCCACAGCAAGAACTAACAATACTCAGTGGTCATTTCCTGGTAAAGTCACACATAGTTCAGTATTTTTTTTTTTCCGTTTTGCTGGACCGTGCATATACAAGCAAAGGCGAGATCAACATTCTGAACTATATGAATGAGGACATTTCTTCTATACAACAAACATGAGTAAAAGTTTATTTCAGTATAAATATTATTCACTTTATTATGGCCGTTTCTATGTACGATTGTACTTATATGTATGCATGTAGCCAGGTGAGTGTGTGTGTGTGTGTGTGTGTGTGCATAACTAATCAAGTTGCTATGTGTGTGTGTGTGTGAATGCGTCCTTGAAGTTTATCCGTGGACAGTGTGTAAGAGGGAGCGGCTCACACAGTCACCTAAGCTTTGTATCTTTATTTTGATCTCTTCTCCCACAGACTGGAGAGTACTCCTTTGGTTACGCCGTAGACGCTCCTGAGTACCGGAACTTCCAAGATAGGGAAGAGGCCCGCTTAGGCGAAGAGACCCGCGGCCGCTTCCGAGTGGCTCTCCCTGACAACCGACTCCAGACGGTACTGTACCGAGCTAACGAGAAGGGCTACACTGCACTTATCTCCTATGACCAGCATCCCGACTTTCCCACCTTGAGGGCGTCCGTAGGACCTATAGGGGATGCTCCTAAGATTGGGCAGTCTGTACTAGAAAGCATCAGGCAAGGGGAGAACTGGAAGAACCACAAGGACCACCACAAAGATGGAAGGCGACCTGGGCACGTGACTCGACAGTCAAGCCATGGAGAGCTCGATAACGCTGTGGTGTCGACGCCACACCATGTGCAACCAGTGATTTCGCGCCCACGACCCTCTAGCGTGTTACGCCCACGCCCCACGCCAACGCAATCAAGCCCGTCACCCGCGCCCAAGCGAACACGCACATCACCCACGCCCATCCGTTCTCGCCCATCACCCACGCCCAGGCGATCACACCCGTCTCCCACGCCCACGCGTTCTCGCCTGTCACCCACGACCACGCGGTCACACCCGTCTCCCACGCCCACGCAATCACACCCGCCATCCACCCAGCAGGGCTCACGCCGAAGGCAGTCTACCGTGCGTACTACAAGCAGGCCGTCGGCGCCTCTCGCCCAGACACGCCCAGTAGCACAACCACTTAGAGCAGCTGCCCCTCAAGTGACCCGAACCCGCGGCTCCACCACCCCAGGGACCTCCGTGCCCACCATCATCCTACCGAATTCAATCTCTATTGCAAATGAAGATTTTGAGGAGCCTGAAATCCTAAACCGTTTAATTACAGCCATTAGAGAGGAGACAGAAGAGGAAACAGAAACGCCTACTGTCGACGAGCACTCAAATGAGAAAGGTCCCCATAGACGGTACAGCATTGGGGATAAGGCCAGTGTGTTGGCTCGATTAGGGGCTGTAGTACACACCGTCCGTCCACCTACCTCGCCTATCCGCTAAATGACGTACTTCTTGAAGTGCTACAAAGTATGGATCCGTTTTACCAGAATTTCATAGACTTTTGCTGTCAGCTATAAATTACCAGTTTTCCAGGATTTACCTTCGAAAAAGCCCTACCGCTAAGTTTAATATTTTACAATAATAAGCTTAGTCTCTCTCTCTCTCTCTCTCTCTCTCTCTCTCTCTCTTAAACCTATCCATTTGATTATATAGGAGCTGTACCAACTACAAAAAAATCTTATCTGCTACAGGATCATGGCAGACCTTTTCCTTTCTCCAATGTCTTAGATTTGACTTTTGTATTTTTACTTTCTTCGTGTTGACTATTAATGTTAAGTTTCACATAACTTGCCTTTTTTCAGATACAACAGTCCCTGCAAAGCCTGTATCATATAGTTGTAAGCCTCTGTGTGTCTTTCTATAAGTTGTACGCGCAAGGTGGTGTTTTAGCCAACAAAAAAAAATCTACAGCAAAGTGCATAGGCAGGTGCCCCTTGTTTACATGACGGTGTGCTTAGCCCCCACTGCCAAGATAAAGTTAGATGCATGCGTGTAAACAAATACTCATCTACAAAATATGTTTCAAAGTTAATTAGGGTACAGGTGTGTGTAGATATTCATGCTTCAAAAGGTATCTTTAAGGAGGGGTCCGATGAATTTCAAAATGATCTCCGCGACTCCTGTTGTCTCAGTAGGATTGTCAAAATCCTTCATCTGTTGTGTCATATTGGCTCATACAAAATCATTAAGATACTTTTTTTGGAGCGATTTAAATACCTCACTGTAGAAAACAAGTGTTAATGTAGACGTTGTCTAAGTAGCCTCTCCTACAGGACAGGTGTGTTTATGGTTAATTAGAATATAGGTATGCATGGGCAGGTAAAGAAGACGTCCGCCTCGTGCAGGAGAAAGTTTACCCGGAAAAAAAAAGGTAAGAGTTGGGGTTATCTTTACCTATTACCATTGACGCGTCAACACGAAGACCGAAATCCAACACCGAATTCACGTAAACTTTAATTGTGTGACTGAGAAGATTCTCTTGAGTTACAAATATCCAGCCACTCATTATACAGTACAGTACATTATACATTTCATCACAACACTTAATATTTACTTGGCTGTAACGAGTTTTGGGGTAAATAATGCGGGTTTTTTATCACCTCTATTTTCCACACAGTATACAAGGTCGTGGTATCCAGTGCTTTATAAATTTTACGGATGAACTCAAATTAAAAAAAAATAAAGGTTTCTACAGGAAGCTGAAAGGTCAAGACTGTCCACGTCGATACCTGATACACGAGCCACACACCCTAGACGATCGTCCTTACTTGTTTCGGGAGGCGTGTGTAGCAGTGTGCGGTGATGGTGTATTAGTGTAGTGTTATGTGTACTATGCGTAGTAGTGATACAGTCAGCCAAAGATCCAGCAACCCCACCCTGGGTCTTGTCCTGGCAATTTTACCTGGCAATACTTGGTAAAGGTAGAATTTTCATAATAATAAACTGTTCATTCTTATTTAAGATCATGAAAAGTTTCCAAATGTTTGTATATTTACTTAAATAATGAAAAAACATATTAATGAATTGGCAATTCAACTACAACGAGGATTGCCACAAGATTCTCAGATAATTTTTTTTCTTAATATTTAAGCAAATATACAAACATTTGGAAACTTTTCATGATCTTAAATAACAATGAACAGTTTATTATTATGAAAATTCTACCTTTACCAAGTATTGCCAGGTAAAATTGCCAGGACAAGACCCAGGGTGGGGTTGCTGGATCTTTGGCTGACTGTACATTAGTGCGGTGGTATCTTAATGTGGTGGTGTGCGGCAGTGTGGTGGCATGATAATGGGATGAAAGTCTAATGTGGTAGTAAGTGGTGTAGTGGTATGGTACTGTGATCATGTGTAGTGGTATGTGTAACGGTATGTTAGTGTGGTATGTTTATGTAGTGTGGTGGTATGCCAGTGTGGTGGTATTATAATATGGTGTGATATGTGGTTAGATGTGATTGTGTAGTGGAGTTGTAGTATGTGTGATGACTTGTGTTATGTTGGTCGCGGTAGGTGGGATTTGTGTGTTGGTAGTGGTATATGGTGCCTGTGTAGTGTGTTGGCAGTGGTATATGGTGCGTATGTAGAGTGTTGGTAGTGGTATATGGTGCCTGTGTTGTGTGTTGGTAGTGGTATATGGTGCGTATGTAGAGTGTTGGTAGTGGTATATGGTGCCTGTGTTGTGTTGGTAGTGGTATATGGTGCGTATGTAGTGTTGGTAGTGGTATATGGTGCGTATGTTGTGTGTTGGTAGTGGTATGTGTGATTTGTGTGTTGGTAGTGGTTTTATGGTGTGTATGTTGTGTGTTGGTAGTGGTATGTGGTGTGTATATAGTGAGTGGTAGTGTGTGTAGGTATAGAGGAGTGTGGCAGTGACTGGGCTGTGGTAGTGTGTGTGGTGATGGCGTGTTATATGTGGTGTCGCTTGGAGTGTGGTCATGATTGGAATAAGGTGGTAAAAATTAGATAGAATTACACTAATCAATCTGAACCACCAATCCATTTCATTGAAGAGGTGCAATAATAAAGATTCGTGTTTGATGTATAAAAAGTATTCTAGAACTACATTATTGTAAAATACTTATTCTGAAGTAGAAAAAACACTAGAATCCTACAGTAAGCAAAAACAACTAGATATATTTTATGTAGTAAAACGTCTTCAGCGGAACATCCAGCTCAGAATCTAGATATCGAATCTCTTGAGTATGATCCACAATATCAGATGGATATACTCGTATATCGCAATATATATATATATATATATATATATATATATATATATATATATATATATATATATATATATATATATATATATATATATATATATATATATATATATATATCTATATATATATCCAAAAACCTGAACAACTGAAACGATAACAATCTTTTTAAAGAGAAATGAAGATTTTCATTCACAAGATCAAGAGATGTTACAATCAAATTAGAGATGTAAGTTTATTTCAGTTAAGGTGATTAGCTCAACGTGCTTTCTCAGACATATAACTAAACTCAGTTATGTGTGAGTGAGAGAACACGGATAAATAAACCTTAAAATTAGATTTTAGAAAATATAAGACTGACTTTGTCTACCACTGTGCACCTGGCCTGTTATGATCGAATATATTAATACAGTTACTTGCCGATCAACACAGTGTATACAAACTGTATACTGTATTCCTTAGACATATTTCCAACAATGTATTAGTTAATGTGTATCCTTAATATATATATATATATATATATATATATATATATATATATATATATATATATATATATATATATATATATATATATATATATATATACTGTATATTACAAACCTGTATATTTCATAATAAGGTACAAGCAGCTGTGTAGAAATTTATGTATATATTTCATTTAACAAGAATTTCTTCTCTCATTTTCCACATTTCAACTCTCAGAGAGATGTTTGTTTTGTATATATTTGTGCACGGACTGAAAATTAATAAAGATTTATTTTGTACAGCACTGTGTGTTTTAAATCCTTTCAACGAAAACAACGAAAACAAATAAAATGTAAAAAAAAGGCAAAACTGCATAGTACTTGGTAAAAGTTGATTTACAGTTTTTAAATGATTAAATACCAAAAAAATAAAAATAAATAATTGCACTATTACATGGCGCATGATGACACAATGTTCCTGTATAGTTTCGGCAAATATCCAAACCTGTTCCTTAAACACCACATCTCTCCACCAACTAAGACACACCTTTTCGCTAATGACCACACACATTTGTCTATCAACAACCTTATGTATACCCACCAACTATCTCAGACCTATTCACCAACCACCATCTATCGAACCACTAACCACTACATCTCTCAACCAACTACCTGTCCACCACCCGTAAAATAATTATCTGTCAATCAACCAACTGTCAGTCAATGACCATATATGTGCAGCAAATTGCCAAGTAATACCAGGAATGTGTTTTTTGAATAAGCATCAGGTGTCGGAGTGACGTCAATGAGTTATGCAGAAACGAGAGATAAAAGGAAAAAGAAAGTAATAGAAAAGAACACACACAAAGATAAAGTGCATTTTCAAAACAGCTAGCGAGGGAGAAACAGAAAACGAGAGAGAGAAAGTGATAGGACGGACATCTTGATAAAAGAAACACAAAGGAAGAATCAGAGAGATAGAGACAATGAAAGAAAAAGAAAAAAAGACAGAGAAGAGACAGAGAAGCACTCAGGACAGAGGAAGAACAGTTATTAACATACTCATAATAAAACAACTAGACAGACCAGTAATAGTAAAAAAAAAGGTCATGCTCACCATCTCGGAACCCACAAGCTCTGCCACAATTGTTTACATAAAATATTTCTGGCTTCCCCTAACCATGTAAGAGAATATCACTACTAAATACTATATAAACTCTTAAAGTGATGGTGGTATGATATTTTATGATCCTAAAAATACACTGGAAACATTAAAAGATCATAAGTCTTAGTGTCTAGTGGGTGATATCAAAGGAAATAAGATGGCTGCTATGGAATTAGGAGACGTGACTTTATAGATGAAATGAACTAACGAGTCATGCAAAAACGAAAATAAAAACAGTGATATTTGACCTATATAATACAGTTATTAGAATTGCACAAAGATCCGACAAAGCCAGAGGTCATAACATAATAACTTGACAGTGTGTTATAGCCGTTGCCAGAATCGAGTCAGGACGAGGCAAATCTAGCAAGTCAGTGAGAATGCCTCCACACCGGTACATTCAGCTTGTAAACTGTGGTAAGCTTTCCACACGTACTCTTAAACATTATATTAATGAAATAAACACAATCATAGAATTCACACCTTTTGGCTTACATTAACATTGACTATAAAACCACGTCTTCGGAACCTTGTAATATACATAAGAAAGAAAGAATAAGAAAATGAAAGATAGAAAACAGAAGAGAGAGAAATAAATAAAATTAAAGAAATATATATGACGAGAAACAGCGAAACAGGGAATTAGAAGGAGAGAGAAATAAGGACATAAGCAAAAGAGAAAGAAATTGACAAAAAGAGAGAAAAATAGTAAAAAGAGAGCAAAATAGATGAGTGACAAAAAAGAGAGAAATGGAAGGAGAGGGAATCAGAGAGAGAGAGAGAGAGAGAGAGAGAGAGAGAGAGAGAGAGAGAGAGAGAGCTAGGTGCGTATCCCTTGAGTATTGGAGGCCCAGTGTTGTGTGGTCAGGCATGTGAGAGAACAAGACTAAGCTGAGGTCTCACAGTAGTTAGGATTGAAGCAACGAATTCCAAACATGAAACACCTGTTATATGATACTGAAGTTACGACGTGATAGTACCGAGGTCCGAGTTAGGTTGGGGTAGATGCGGAAGAGAGACTGAAAGATAGAAACGTAAATTAAAAAAAAAAATATATTCAGTGAGGGAAAGAGAGAGACGGGGTGAAAGGAGCGAGAGAGAGACAGAGAGAGAGAGAGGACAAATGACGATTGAGAAAAAGAGATTGGGACATAAAAGACACAGGGGAGAAAGAGAAGGAAGGCAGGGATAGAGAGAGGGAAAAAATGGGAGAGGCAGAGAAAGACAAAAAAAAAGTAGAAAGACAAAGCAATAGAAAGGGAAATAAGATGAAAGAGGGAAAGAGAGAATGGGACATGGGGGGAGAGAGAGAGAGAGAGAGAGAGAGAGAGAGAGAGAGAGAGAGATGGCTTAATAGAGAAAGAGAGAGATAATAACATGGTAAAGTATATAAAGAAGGTTTTAGAAGAATAAAACCAGTGACAATATACGTTAAGTCTGATTAATTATCTGGTATTTTTATCATTTACTTTCTCTCTCTAAATACCGGTTCGTCTCTCTGTCTCCCTCTCATTTTGCAGATAAGAGTTCACATTCTCTTTTTCTACCTCATCTTCCCTTCGTTTTTATGTCTTTTTTCCTTCTCCCTGTCCCCCCCTTTCTCTCCCCCCTTCCATCCATCCATTTCTCTCTTATCAGTGACAAAGATTAAGGATGAAATAAATAAATAAAATATCCCTCACTTGCTCAAACTACCAGAGGCAAACTACTCTCCCAACCCAGTGACCATCGCATCACGACCACCTCCCCTGTACTGAATGAACTAATCTCCTGCTGCCATATTATCTGGACCGACTGAAATCAATATGGCATACAGTCGTGACACTGAAGCGAGGCATTATAATTTGTAGTAGAGTTATTTTAACAGGACGATATTTCATTTTCGTTTTCTTTATCCGTGTTGTTTTGGTTTCTACTTTTCTCTCAAGGGTTAGTGAGTCAGAATTTCGTTGTCTATGTAAGAAACACGTGTGAGAACCTGTTTTGATTTTCTTCTCTGTAATACAGTCTGGATAATGGTTAATCCACTTCTCATATATCATAGTAAGAATGTATTCCTGT